GATGGAACCACTAATTTCTCATTATTCTGCCAGATCCAAGCAAATCTCAGAACAGAATTTGTCCCAGACTAATTGAATAACCTTGAATTCAGTAGTTATACTCATGGCTAAATTGATTATTTTTCTCCTCTTTATCACTCAGACACAATCACTTTTAGAGGTTCTTCAGACTGATTTACAATTAACTCCTTAGCACATCTTTGGAAGGTCAAATAAGCAGGAAAAATTAACTCACAGGAGACAAGCTTCTTTGTAACCTCCCAAGAAACAAATAACAAACTCACTTCTAAGTAAGTTCTGAAGAAGCAAATAACTATTCTAACTTCTGTCGGATGGTTTTTAAAAATATGTTTTAATTTACTTTTTATTTTATAGATATAGAGGGTAGACATACTTTCTTACATGGATATATTGTATAGTGGTGAAATCTGGACTTTTAACAGGATAGTTTTGATTTAGAGACATTAGCTGACTTAATCACCGGACAACACTTTCTTTATTTTGCAAATTCTCCTTAACACCCCTACCACTCCCCAAGCTGTTTTGATTTGTTTAGTTCCCTGTTGTGACTCCAGACATTGCCAAAGGTCCCCTAGGAGACACAACTATACCTGGTTAAGAACCACTCATCTAGAGGAAAGCGGTTTGGTAAAGGCCGGGTGCAGTGACTCACGCCTGTGATCCCAGCACTTTGGGTGGCTGAGGCGGGCGGATCACAAGGTCAGGAGATCAAGACAATCCTGGCCAACATGGTGAAACCCTGTCTCTACTAAAATACAAAAAATTAGCCGGGCATGCTGGTGCCCGGCTGTAGTCCCAGCTACTCAGGAGGCTGAGGCAATGATTGCAGTGAGGCACTGCAATCAACCGGGAGGCAGTGATTGCAGTGAGCCGAGATTGCGCCACTGCACTCCAGCCTGGCGACAGAGCAAGACTCTGTCTCAAAAAAAAAAAAAAAAAAAAAAAGAAAGAAAGAAAGAAAGAAAAATCCTTATAAAATGGAATTAGCTGAACTGTGCCAATGCCAGAGTGACAAGGGAAGGGTCTGAGTTGGGAGTCACTGTACACAAAGGCTCAGCCCTAGAAAGAAGGTAAAAGGAAGACATGCAGAGAGAGGTGGTCTCAAGTTCTAGCCTCCATCTAGCGGAGTGCCCCTATGACACTTGCCTGGTGTTGCTCTCCTGTTACCCTCAGAGTGGTGAATCGAGGATGAAGGCTTGTCTTGGAGGCAGCAAAGAACAGTGTCTGGGGATATCAGGTAGGAGAAGGCAAAGATCATTGAAGGGTCGGGTCGCAATCAGATCAGGTGGCTACATTGTCAGAGTGATGCACTGATAAATGACAGACATGGGCCGGGCACGGTGGCTCACACCTGTAATCCTAGCACTTTGGGAGGCTGAGGTGGGCAGATCACTTGAGGTCAGGAGTTCAAGACCAATCTGGCCAACATGGTGAAAACCCGTTTCTACTAAAAATACAAAAATTAGCTGGGTGTGGTTGCTCACTCTTGTAATCCCAGTTACTTGGGAGGCTGAGGCTAGAGGATCGCTTGAACCCAGGAGGTGAAAGTTGCAGTGAGCCAAGATCATACCACTGCTCTCCAGCCTGGGTGACAGAGCTAGACTGTGTCTCAAAAAAAAAAAAAAAAAAAAAGACAAACATGATGTACTTCAGTGCCTGTGGCATCAAAAACTTCTATGTCATATCTAAATTTTGTATCACTCCTGCTTCCAACTGGGTAGTGTTCTCTTTGGGAGTCTACAGAGGCAGGACAAAGTTCTCTTTCTCATCATAAGAATTGTAGCCAACATTTATTGAGCTTAGGACTCATTAACATGAAAAGACTCAGAGCATGATATTAGTACATTTTATAGACGGGTGTACTGAGCCATAGAGAGGCCAAAAAAATTGTCCAAGTTTCCACAGCAGATAGGCAGTGGTCATGATTGTGAATCAAATGGTTTGGTTATGGAGGCTGTACCCCCTACCACCACACTGGAAAGCCATCTTTGTGCTTCTGTAGACACTAAACTGACACCCCCAGAGCCTGCATGTTCCATGGCCAAATATGAAGCATGGAAAATTATTTGGAGAGGCAAACAAAATTTGGCTGTTCGAAGGAATTGAGATTTTAGTATTGTTCATTTTTTAAATTAACGGTAAAGTGAATTCTGGGTGCTATGGTGTTTTTTGTTGACCATAGGACAATGATATTTGCAAATGGGCTTTATTGATTTAGATTTTGTGATAGAGGATTCAAGTGTGATTTATTGAGGTAAATGTTTTGAACCCAAATGATCGCTCCTTTCTTCTCTCTTCAACTCCTCACGACTCCCAGCCCAATCTTATTCCTCCATAATTATTTATCATCTGGAAGAGTCAGGTGTTTCAAATGAGGCCAGCATGGACTTTTCCCAACAGGGATGTATTTTTTAATATCTAAATGTCAGCCTATGGCCCTTGCTGATAAGGCTCCAGATCAAATAGGGGCAAAAGGAATTGAAAGCCAAATCGCAAAAATAAGTAAAAACTCCAGCTAACAAGAATTTCACAACAGACATAAGCTGATGACTCTTTTATTAAAGCAATGTGGAGTACTAATAAATGCTACTGTGTTCTGGAAATGTAGGAAATTGGTTGAAGTCATTTTTCTCTTGTTAGTCTCATGTTAAGCTGTTCATAGCAGGATCTCTTGGGTTATTTTTTCTCAATTAATACAGTTGTCTACTAATTTATTTTCTTTTTAAAAGTCTTGGCCTTAAACTCAATTTTGGTAGTTTCAGCTATTGTTTACTACCAAAGGAAGAACTTCAGATTTAGAGAAAAGTCTGTATTTTTATTTTGTGTGGAATTGAGAAAGGAGATGGTAAACTTGACATTGCTTGCAAATGAAATGCACAGCTTGATCATTTTTTTCTTGATATAATTTTTGTTTTGGAAGAACTGTAGTATGTCTTGGTGGTGATAATGAATACCATAACCACATAATCATTCTCTAAATGATTGTAATGGAAAGAAGTTTTATTTAAAATTTCAAGTTACTCAAATGGCACATGTCTCCACATGTGTCTTTTTACTACAGGTAAACCCAGAAGGCATGCGTGATTATGGGTGTGTGAGTGTGTGTAACATGAATGTGTGCCTGCCTCTATGTTATGTTGCACTATTAGTTTGAACCACAAAATAGAAAAGAATGTAAATATCTTCTGAAGTCTGGATACACCTGAACTCTGGATTTATCTGTTCTAAATGAAAACTAGAGGGGAAACCATTTTAGTATGTGAAGTTTGGCCTGAGGAAAAGAATGGCACATCTACAGTTCTTAGAAAATTCTCATACAAGATCAGGATTACTGGCATGCTTGGGGAACAACTTGCTGTGGGTAGTTGAGATTTTCAGTTTCAACCAGCAAATCTGTTTTGTTTCATCTTTTGTTTAAAATATTTGAATTAATAAGAATTATTTTTCAACTTCAAGAAGTAGTACATAGAGCAATGCTGTCTGATAAAACTGAGTGGTGATGGAAATATTCTGTATCTCTGTTGTCCAGTATGGTAGCCATTAGCCTCATGTGACTACTTAGCACTTAAAATGTGTCTACTATGACTAAGGAATTGAATTTTAAGTTTTATTTAATTTTAATTTATTTACATTTAAATAGCCACATAGGACAGGGCTACCATATTTGACAGTGCAAGTATAGAGTATAATTACCAGTTAATGCATGTCTCTGGTTTGAAACATTCCACTGTATTATCACACTGCATATCTGAATTTTGATTTGGAAACTGTGGCTGAATGCTGGGATAGATTCCAGCTCTGCCAACAGGAAAGGAGTGGTGAGGAAAGCTGTTGGACAGCTAGCCAAGGATATTTGCCATGTTTGCCAGAGTATTTTGACTGTACTTCTGTCATAGTATTAATACCATTTGGACTTTTTAATCGTTATTTGTGGGCTTATTTTATCCCTTTGGTAGATTCTAGATTCCTTAAGGATGGGGCCTTACTATTTTCACCAGCACATGGAATAGTGCCTTGCCCTACAGTGTGCTTAATAAATATTGACTCAATTGATTAGAAGTGGTCCATGCCAATTGATTAAGCTTTTCTACCTTTAAAAAATTGAATCTAAATTCTTTAAAATCAAGTTATTTGTTTGAATATTGACACCCTCCCAGTAAAGTTATGTTTATTCATTCCAGAAAATGATTAAGTGGCCTTAATCATAAAGGTACTGGAATAAAGTTACCAAGGGTTTGTGCAATATAAACCCTGCAAAGACTGTTTACAATTCTGTGTGGGTGTAAGAAGAAAAAAGGATTCAAATATAAATATGAGTGGGAAAGAAAACTTGTTTTGAGTCCATTTTATGCATTTGTTAACATTTTGAAGACTATGCAGTACAATTTATCATCTTAAAGTTATGAGGTGAAAGAAATTACTTGTATTTAAAATCACTGCAATTCTCTATTTGAAGCTCCATTGATAACATTTTTTGGGGAAAACAAATTACTTGAATAACTTTAAATTCAGTACATTATTATGCATATCACATAATTTCATTTAAAAATCTTTTTCCATAGAGTGAGATCGAAAGACCAGATTTCGATTGCCAATGTGGTGTGAAGTATAAAGCCAGTGTTCCATGTCCTAATTTGTTTCATAATATAAACATTCTTCAAAAGTTTATATTTTTTAATGTAAAGAATTTTTCATATAAACTTCCCTTCATTTGGTTCAGGTTTTAGTTATTGTACATGTTCATAAATTTTCATTTTATCAACTGTTTTAACTGATGTTTAAACTTCATTTTTTAAAAAAGATTTGAGATAGTATAATTTAAATTTTCTCTAAAAATAAATATATTCCTTATTTGCTTGCCAAATGGTGAATTTGTATGACTAAATGAGCAGTTCCTACCTTATTCAAGAATACTCATTCATAATATATCGTCTCAAATGATAGGAAAATTTAAGTTTCATTCAACACAAAGACATGAATGATTTTTAATGCATTTTATTGTCTGCTAATGGTACTTTTTTAGTTACAGAATTTGCTAAGTAAAGTGATTATAAGCAAAAATCATTGTGTTCTTGTGTCATTCCTGAAAGCAACTGAAGTATTCATTCCCCTCTCATATTCTGATCTTTTAATCCTGAAAAAAATAGCAAAAGAACAGTTAAAATAATTTACAAATGTTCCTAGTGAGTACCATTTACTATAACATGTCTGGCTTCAGTTTTGTCAAAACAATGTACAACCATTTAAGCTGAACTCTATAATTTCCAAAGTTTCTTTGTTATTTCGTTGTCATTAGATATTAGGTGTCCATGAGGACTGCTTCCACCTTCAGGACACTTAAAGCCTATTATTTTATAACAAAATAACAATTGCTACCTTTTCGGGGAGTACTTCTTGCATGCCAGGCTCCAAGCTTATCATGCTATTTTGTTTTCCATAAAATTAACTCTAAGAAGCTATCAATGTTTATACTCAAATTTTACACAAAAAGAAACTGAGTTTTAAAGAGTTCAAACTGTCTTCCCAAAGTCACCGTTCCATAAATAGCTTTGTCAAGATGTGAGCACATTATAAACTTCATGGTGTTAATTGTTAATAAAGAGATAAATAAATGCATTTTCTATGTACAGAGAAAACATGTGCCTTAGACTAAAATAGTCAATGATAGGCGCCAGATTACTTGGGATTCAATCAATTTTCAAAAAATTCTGCCCCATATTTTCCATAAACATGCTCACAATTATGAAGCCATTTATGACATATATTATGATTTTTTAAATTCAGAAACTACGATATTTATAATTGGATAGAGGCTTGAAAATAATCTGATTTTGTCATTTTCCGCCATTTAAAAGAAAATAAAACACCCATACATTTGAAGTGACTTTCACAATACTGCCTTCTCTTTGAGGGCAAAGCCACAACTGGAACCTATGTGTCCTAGCTTCTTATCCTGGTCATTTGCACCTCACTTCTCTCTTCTTCTCAGTGGCAAATCATCAATAACATGTATAAATTGGAATTACAGTTGGATACATATACATGATAGGATCACATAATCTCGTATACATAGAAGTAAGACTTTATGGAGGTAGATTAAGGTTGTTTTGTTGACTATTCCCATTCATTTGTAAGAGCTACCTGTAATGGAAGATTTCGTGCTAAATTGCAGTAACTTCTTGCTAAAAGCTTAATCATCTGTAGAATCCCAGTACAGAAAAGGAATCTAACAGTATGTTTAGTTTAGCCTCCTCCAAGTTAGATTGAAAACTACTGGAAATGGGGAATCTTCCTGTAGGTTTTTGAAGAGATTTCCTGTCTACCTTTTGTAACCTGTTCAGATATTTGCACTCTCAAAATTACCTGCTCCCTCTTTTCTTAAGCCTTCAGTGCAACTCTAGCCTATTCTTGCTAGTCAAACCTTGAAATATAAGGAAAACTGATATTCCCTTATACTGTTGCCTTTAACATTCATGGGGTTTAGTAATATATATTTCTATTAATGGGTTTTGGTAATATATATTGTGGTAGAAATTCAGTAATAGTAAAATTGAAACCTACCATAAAAACTGTGATCTTAATTACCAAGCCATTTAGATGAATTTGTTTTTAATATAAAGGTATAGCATATTGCTTGGACTAATAGAATTATAGACTTGTAACTACTACAACTCTAGACCCTTGGTTGTCAGAGACCTTAGAACTCTGGGACCTATTTTGCTGCACCATTTTAACAGGATTTGCATTGTAGTGGCTTCAAAATATACTCACCACTTCCTCCCGCTTGGTCTTGTCCGTTGATGGCCAAGCTTCCAGAGTCAGATCAGGAAGCATGGGAGGCAGGGGCTGCATGGGGAACATCGGAGGCAGAGGTGGCTGTGGCGGCAGGGGCTGCATGGGGTGCACAGGTGGCTGGGGCTGCATGGGCTGGTGAGGCTGTGGCTGAACAGGCTGGGGCTGGTAGGGCTGCTGGGCGGGCGGAGGGAGGTTTGGCTGGTGGTGTTGGGTTGGAGTCATGGAGTGTTGGCCAGGAACGGGCATCATTGGTTGCTGGGGGAGCACGGGTTGCTGAGCTGGCACCACTGGGATGTGGTGATGAGGCTGCAGGGTGTGAGTCGGGGGGTGCTGTTGGGACAGCACGGGGATGATTTGGTGGTGCAGCCATCCACCCATGGGCTCGTAACCATAGGAAGGGTACTGGTGAGAAACAGAGAGGCAGGTTTACCATTGGCTCAGGTGACTCCAACCAGAGAAGCAGCAGTGTTTTCTTTGCCATTATGGCTATAGGAGTATTTTATTCATTTTTCCTTTGCAAAAATTTGTAACTGTGTACACAGATATGATTTTTTACAAACTAAATTTCCCATTAATGTCTGTATGTGGAGTAGACATGATATTTCACTTAATATGGGAATTGTAATGCATGCCTAATATTTTCAGGGAATAAAGAACAAAATATCTACATACCGGTGGCCTTATGCTCTGGTACCACTTCAAAGGGGTAAGCACCTTAAGAGAAAAAGATATTAGAACCCATTTGATTTAATTTACTTTCATCCAATATAGAAACTCACTGATGCAGTATGAAATATAGACTCACTAATGCAGTCCTGTCAACATTGATAGCCTGAGAATGTGAGTTCTACAAAAGAAAGAAGAAGGTAAACATTTTTCGGGTGCTTCCTGTGTGTCAGGCACTGTGTTTACATCCATCACACACATTCTTCATCTTTTCTCATATGCTAGGAGGCAAGTATTATTACTCTCACTTTTTAGATAAGATCATGGGGAATTAAAGAGGTTCATTAACTTGACTGAGGTGACAAAAGGAGTAAATCTGTTTAATTCCGTAATTCCTGCTTTTCATTGTAAGAGCAAAACAAACACAAAATTATGACATAATAATATGACATGATGTTAATTTCATTTTTTTCTTTGATGTCACAATGGGAAAAAGAGAGGTGCAAACACTGTCCCTCATCCTGGAAACACAGATTTACTCATCAGATGTGTCAATCTTTTAGGCTTAACAGAAAATCTTGCCTCAAATTCTTATTAACATTTGTCTTCAGCTTTTATAAGTAAATAAACTCACAGATTGTTACCTGAACCTGTGAGAAAAGTAAGAATTTTATTCCTTTCTGAACAGTATATATACTTGGTTAGACTTAGGTTTGAGGATTCTTCATACAGTAATATGACATTTAATTGATACAAAAAAATTAGTAAACTTGCTCATATTATACTTGACAAAGTACTTTTCATATTCATTAAGTATATTATTCTCCAAACAATATTTTGATATATGGTTATTATAATTATTTCCTTTCTCCACATGAGGAAACCAGGGTTCCAGAAAGAGGAAATGATTTGCCCAAAGTCACACAGTTAGTAAGAGGTTGAGGAGAACCTCAAACCCAATGTCCAAAACTCATGCATTCCATTGTTCTGCAGAGTCTCTCCTATACCACTTAGTCACTAATATTTCAGCAGAGCCAAATGAGAGACACACATAGAGTGTGACTATCTTAGAATCAGGAGTTTTTGAGCTGGAAAGAGTCTTAAATAACATCTTACCTAATCCTTACATTTTACTAGCTGGGATAGAACCAAGCTGGTCAGAGTTGACTTTTTGCCCTATCATGGAGCCTCCCTGAGTGGTGGTTCATGATGGGTAAGCTTACGGCCATATTTAGGAGGAGAGACTGAGTCAGAGTGGCCAGGCAGGAGGCTGCTGGGACGACACAGGCTTGAGGCCAACCATCAGAGCTTAAACTGGGAAGCTGGTGGTAGGAACTGTAAAATCAGGACCACTTGAGAAACATCTGGGATAAAGAATCAACACACTATTCTTTACAGAGCCCAGGGCATTGTTAACGCAAACAATGGTCAAAATTAGTAAAGAGAAAAATTACCTCATAGCTGAAGTTGATATAACCAGGGTGCCCAGGATGAGGTGGTAGCTTTTATAGGGAGGAGAGGAGGAGAATAGAAAGAGAGAGGAAAGGAGAGAGTGAAGGAAGAGAAGAGAGAGGAAGAGATTAAGTCAGTATGCAATTGTTCACATTAAAGGAGACTGAAGCTACTTTTAAAAAATCTATATAGTACAGAATATACTTGAGGTCTGTTTTTAGTTTGAACAAATGTGCTGTGTAGAAGAGGAGACCTCTTATTTTAAAGAGGTCCAAAACAGCTATATGACTGTTCCTGGGGTTATAGTCTTATGGTTGGAGACCTGGAAGCAGAAACCAGCACACATTTATTCTCCAGTGATCTTTGGACAACGTCCCACCCCCACGCCCAGTGTTTTCGATGAATCCTACCCTATCCTGCCCAACAGTTTAGTTGCTGATAAAACTCATCCCATATTGGGGAGAGAAGTGTGCTTCTTTTACACAATAAAGAAATATCAACAAGGAGAGAATTGTCTCACAAATGTTCCCTGGTAGATCAGGAGTTGGTCAAGTACTTTACGTATCAAAGGGATTTCTCATAATTGACATGCAAAGTAAACAACACATCCATACAACAAAAGAAGCCACAAAAGAAACCACAAGGTGGGAATTATTGACAAATGCCAGAACAAGATGGGTGGAGCAAAGTGGAAACATTATAAATCGCATGGAAAATGAAAGAGTTCATTTATGATGTTTAAGCCAATCTTTTTTTATTATTCTGCCAATGGTTTTATGGCAGAAAAATTTTAAAGTTAAAAATAAAAGGCCACCTGAATGATGATCTGAATCAGGACTGTCTATCCTCTCAAAAGTGGGGGCCAAGTGTCTGGTGCCTGTATTGTGGAACTCTGGTTGTTCCTGGGGTCCAGGGAGGAGAGACAGTCATGCAGAAAATCTCCCTCAGACATTGGCCTCATTTAGGATTGGCTCTATTATATTCTTTAAAAATGCTCACATTTCATAGGAAGGTTTATTCACTCTCATCTGCATGTGAATGGTTTTAGTCAGGTTGTATGCCCTCTTGATCAATACCAGCTTAGAGAGTGGGAAAAGGGCTGAATTTGTAAGGCAGGGACCCCTGAAGAAACTAGGAATCGCTACAATTCAGGATTTCAGGAAGTCAGAGCACAGAATCTTGGTTTTCTGGGTGAGAGAGGAAGAGAGGAGGCAGGTGTGCAAGCTTGCTGGCTTCTGGTTGTATCAACTGCTCTTTATTCCACCAAAAAGCAGATGCAGCCTGCTTGGCATGCATGTGATCTAAGTTCTCCGTCCTTATGCACCTGTGTCCAGACAGAGTGGGTCTAATGTCCTGATCTTTAATACATTTGAATATAAAATATATCACTATGTATTGGGTGTAGGCAGGATCCCAGGCAACCACAAAAAAAGCCATGTACTTATCAGATGTACCCAAAGAGGTGGGGCCTCTGAGAACAGGAAGATGGCTCAAAAAGTGGATTCCTAGCACAAAAGTCTTACCCCTTGAGGGGTAACAGCAGCAATATATGGAGGGCAGGAAGAGATTTGGAAACTTGAGAGGAATTGGGTTTTAGACAAAACTGGCATCTCTGTAATATTTGTCCAAAGCTGGTTAAGCACTTTCTGTGGAGACCTTTCAAGGGTCCCTTCCAAAAGCTTCCTCCATCTAGATGGGTGGTGATATTTACAAGCTAACAGTTCCAACAGAATCTCCTGGGGTGCTTATAAAAATGCGGAGTCCTGGGCCCCAGCCCAGCTGTACCATATCAGAATTTTTGGTAGAGGCATTTGAGAATCTGTCTTTTTAAAACAAGCTCCTGAAGTGTTTCTTCAACCCGGAGACGTATGAAGACATCTGATCTCATACTGTTTTAAACCCTAATTTCACCAACTGTGGGCAGATTTTTATTTTCAAGCTTGTGAAATTGGACAGACTTATGCAAGGGGTGTTTTACTCACAGGCATGGCAAAAGCTGCTCCCAGGAGGCAGGCAAATAAAATCCAGGTCCCCATTTCTTGATGGTTCTGAAATGTAAATCAACATCCACTTTTCTTATCTCTTCTGAAACATGGATGTAATGAATGCTCCATAAAACACACGTAATCTACATTAGTCTATTGCTAGTAAGAAGGATGGAGCCATTCTTTGTGAATTTACTTCAATCATATGTGATTTCCAGCTCTCAGCCTGTTTCATTGTTTGTAGAGTCACAATAGTGACAAAGATGCATTTAATTTAGGTTGAGGGCTGAACAAGTTACAGGGACATGAATGATCTATCCTCATATGACTTTGCATGCCATTTTCCTATGCCCATACAGCCCATAGTCATAGAAGCTAAATGATATTTATAATTAATGATTAACAGAATAAAGTTGGCTCTAAAGGTTGGGAAGATCATCAAAGTGCACAGTATTTTATAATTTTAGAACAAGGAGGCACAGAAATGTCTCCTGCACAGTCTACCTGGGTACTGCTACTGTTAAAAGCAAGGACTAATCATTTGAGAAAATACGTTAATTTTCCAAGATAGTAGATTTTAGTTCCAGAAGTTCCTATCTATAGAACTTCAGGCAAGACCCTCCAGTAACATCTCTGAGCTCCAGATTGTGGAGCAAAAGATGTGGCTGAACTAACAGGAGAGGATAGTACTAATTTTATGTGATTTTTCAATGAATTTTGAATACTTTCTGCCTCAGAGGTTTCATTTTCTTTCAATGGAATCTTCGTTTTGTTTGATGTTTCTCTGTAATTATTCTATAAATAAGACCCTTGGGACATTAATCAAAACAGGTCATTCTAAAATGTGCACATTGATTTGTGGCACAAATTATTGACTAACTTGGAAAACTGTCAGAAGAAAGACCTTAAATTTTGTATAGGAAGTGAATATTACATGTAATTATGCTGCCTATGAAAAGTACACTGATTTTCTAACTCCTAAATTTGTTGTTGTTTTTTCTTTCTTTGTCTGGGTTAATGAGAAAAATCACTTCATTGATGGTTCTATTTTATGTAATTAAATAAAAAGCTTTTCAAAGTAGTAGATCACAGCCTGTGAAAGTATTATTTTTACTTTAAGTGATAATTAACTATAATAAATATTTTACTGTGAAATGTGGCCCAAGAAAGAGCTTTGGAATTAAACAAGCACTTTGTTGCATTATAAAGTAAAAAAAAAAAAAAAAAAAAAAAAAAAAAAAAAAATCATTTCGGTAATCAGAGTCTAATTTAATTATGGGCCAACTAAAAAGTAACTATTGATGGCATATAGTATTAGAAATGTAGAATACATTTGTATCTTTTAAAAGAAATTCAGAGAAAGAAATAAGCACAATAAAAAGGATATCAAATTATAAATAAAATCCACATACCTTTGAATGTATTCAGTGCAAGTTTCTGTTTGAAACTCAGGGATGCTTGATCCTTTAGATTTCTTCCAACTACGAGCTCAATTTATATCATTCATGGCATCTATAACAACCAATCCGGTTTCTAAAGGAAAAATGTGTTGAGTATAACTAAAAATCCCTGTATCATGATTTTTTAGAAGCTATGATCAGACATAAGGCTGTATGTTGTGATTAGTGCATATGGAATCTTTCATTACGGGCAATAATAGGTTTAACAGGCAAAGAGTTTCATCAGGCTATTTTGAAGTCAGCAAATTAGTTGACTGCACATGTTGATATATTCAGATTTATTTTTAAGAAGCTCCTCTGCCGTCGTCTTTTCCTCGGTTCTAGCAAACAACATTGTTCTTTACAAAAATCAAGCTAGGTGGTTGAGATTCTCTAGTGTAATCTGGATATCCTCCAGGATTTTTGCAGCCCTTTCAGATCAGGAGAAATTGATTCAAATTCCCATTTGGGTAAAAACCCAAAGCTCTCTCTAGTATCTCTCTGAGGAATTACAATTTTGGGATCACCACTGCTCTACTTTCTGCTTCCATTGAAGGTATTTTTCTCTGTTCCCTGTGGCTGCTCCTTTATCACCACTCTGGTGTCCACCAAAACAGGGGACAAAGCCCCTTCTCGTCCCCATCCTGAAACCGATCTACCATAAAAACAATCAGGAACTTAAGGTTCTTGCAGTAGCAAAACTTTTACTGATGATCTATACTACAAGGCAAGGAGTGCACACCAGACAGCACATTTAAAAATAAATTTTGTTTTTTACAAACAAACTCATGTCACAGGGGATGTTGTCCTTTCCCTCCCATCTCACAGAGCAACTTGGCCTCTCAGTATGGCCTCCCTTCTTTGCCCACATCCTTCTGGCCCAATCCCACTTTCTCATACAGGCAAACCCAAATTCCTCTCTATTTTCCAGAGCCTCTTAACTGTCTGGCTAGCTACTTTGTTTCCATGTTCTCAGCAGCCTCTCCTTTCCCTAAGCAATAACCAAAGCTATTCACTTTCTAAAAGAAACTCTGATCATATACCTATTAAATTCATGTGTGGTTTACCCCTCTACCTTGGTATAACACATGGGTTTTTTTCTTTTATTCTGGAATTTGATTAGATTGATCTAATTGAGCAAATTTTTAATTAGTGACAGGAGCTAACTGACGAGTCATCCATCAATATTAGATCAACAAAGGAGGTACTGAATAATCTACCCAGATACAGTTGATGCTATACCTGGATCTCTTTGAATACTCAAGTAATATTTATAAAGTTTGTACATATACATATATGTTTATATGTATACATACAAATTACTTAGCCTGTCTGAGCCTCAATTTCCTGATATGTAGAATGGGAATAATAACAGAACCTAGCTCAGGGAATTAGTGTGAAAAGTAGATGACCGACATCTCTGGGGAAATGGAAGACTATTTATTACTCTCCCCAACCCTGTCAGCTGGCATACAGTAAATGTTAAAAGAATGCTAATAAACAAGATTCCAAGATGATCTTTGGGGATAAATCAGTAGGGATGAACATTGCAAAGAAAGGTAAGACCTTCCAATCAGGGAGAGAGAGATTGCAAAGAAGGAAGTGGAAGATTGTAACAGGTAAAATGTATACATGAAAAGAAACATAGAATATGATTCTAAAAGCCACATGTCCTCAGGATTTGCATTTATTTATGAATATATTTATTGGTGAATTTTTTATCAGAGACAAGAAGGATTCCCTTTGAAAGAAGTCGGAAAATGGACCTTAGGAGGATTGGCAGGGGTGTACAGCAAGGTGGTAAGGGAGAGGAAGGAAAATGTGGGTCACATTATGTTCACTTTCAATCTTTTTCCCCCATTTTATACAATTACATATACTGGAGTGCCTGAAAGGACTCAGGATATTTTTTTTCTACAAAGTTGTGGGTAATCTCTACTAATGAAGGCAATGATGAATTACTAGTGGCCTTGTAGTTTTAGAAAGATTGATGTTAACACTTTTTCTCACCTTTTAAGAATGAAAGGATGATATATTTGGCCATAATGATCAACAGGATGCTTCCTTAATGTGGCGTTAATTCCTCTGGACCACTGAATAGTGAGTTACCACTAATTCCCCATGGACAGTTGAACAAGCTTTGATGGCCGATTCCATAGAAATAATTGATTTTCCCCTACTGCATATCCTGAGTCATAGGACAGTAAAATAATGGATCTGTGTTTGAAATCTCTTCCACTAATTTAGGCCCCACTTACACAGCTTAAAAATTGCTGAATGTTTTTGAGGAAAATGAAATTTCAATTGAAATATTTTTCCTATAAGTAATTATTTTATTTATGAATAAATTGACTGCATAAAATAGTTCTTTTGCTCATGTTTTGTAGTAGGTATTCTTTTTCTTGACTCGCAGTCCAGTACATTTTGCTGTTCTCACAATGCTTATGCTAGCAACTTCCCCGCTTCTAATTTGCTGCTTCTAATTTATAGTATGCTAGAAAGTCATATGCCCAAACTTGTTAAAGTGTGGATGAACTGAAAGTAAAGGAACACTCTAAGTGGGGCTGGCCTGGGAGGGCCTCACCTGTGAGAAAACCAAATGAATTTCGGTTTTGTGACACTTATTTTTGACTGCTGGGAGGGTGTTTGTTTTGTTTTGGAGTTCCTCTCCACTGGCTTACTGCCTGGGTTTCAACAGCACTTGGGGTATGAGGGTGGTCTTTGGATAAGTCAGGTATTATGAGTTTGAAAAGCCTTTCCTATCATCTATAAGAGTTCAACTCTTGAGTCTTCTTTTAAAGCATCCCCAGGGTTGTCCAATATTCTAGAATAATTTCAATAGTGAGTCTTCTTAAGTAGCTGGAGCCAAAGTTGGCTTTTAAATATTTTCTCTGTAGATGTTTACTTATAAGAAAACATCATTCTCTAGGATATTTGTTTTTTTTTGCTGGGGTAGAGTTGGAGTTGTATGATCTTCAGATCTTAGGCAAAAAAACCACTGATGAATCCCAATATACATTGTAACTTTGACTCCATTGCAACCCTTAGAAATCACGTATTGTGTCTTATACTTTCTTGGGTGCTCCTTGGTACCTAGAAAAAGCTCTTATACAAAGTAGGTGCTAGATAAATGTGTTGATTAATTAATGAAAATGTAGAAAAGTGTTCCATGACATTGTAAATATAGAAAATGTGGATTCTGAAAGAAATCCTACAGTGATTTAGATGGACCTTTTTAATAGCTAAGATGGATAATTCAGCATCGCTGTCAACTGCTCCTGTGGATTTTTGTGCAAATGACCTCTGATAAGTACCTGAAAAGGGAGATGCTGTAAAAGTGCTAGGATCTATCATCCTAACATTCTCATTACATTTGGCTCTGACCCTCTTAGTTCAAATTATAATATACTCCAAGCAAATACACTATGATAGATAAATTTGTGGGGTTTTTTTTCTTTTTTCTTTTCTTTTCTTTTCTTTCTTTTTGTGTCTATCCAAATCCTTCACATCTCAGCTCACTGCAATCTCTGCCTCCCGGGTTCAAGTGATTCTCCTGCCTCAGCCTCCTGAGTAGCTGGCATTACAGGCACGTGCCACCATGCCCAGTTACTTTTTATATTTATATTTTTAGTAGAGACAGGGTTTCACCATGTTGGCCAGGATGGTCTCGATCTCCTGACCTCATAATCTGCCTGCCTCGGCCTCCCAAAGTGCTGGGATTACAGGCACGAGCCACTGCGCTTGGCCTATGAAGTAACATTTAAAACAAAATGTCTACCAATAGTGGGGCTGGTTCAAATTGATTATGGCACAAATAGCATTCAAGATGAGGATGACACTCTGTATTTGTCAACATAAAAAGATGTTGGTGACACATTGTTAAGTGGAAAAATAGGTTTTTTAAAGTCCCCTTCTCTAATTTTTTTCTCCCTCCCTCCCTGCTCTCCCTTTTCTCCATTTGGGGAGCTATTCATCAAAAGACTAACAGTAGTTATCTAGGGACTCCTTGAAAATCTCTGGGTAGCCAAGGTTTAAATTTATTTCTTTTAAATAATCTGTGAATGCAACAAATGCAGGGGAAATATAAGAAGTTTGGAGTATGATATTTCTCATTTATGTTCAGCAAGAGAGATGAGTAAGTGATAGTGCTACTTGCATAGGCTCTGGGTATATCCAATGTTCATTCTTAGGGGGAAAAAAGGTTGAACGTAAAATCCAAGACAAAAAAAAAAAAAAACAAAAACATGATTTTTTAAAGTGAGAGAGCCCTTTTAAATCATGAGTAGGAAATATTTTAATAATATAAACATTCACAGTAAGAGTTCATACAACTTGTAATTTGAAAATTCCATAGGTATTTGCTAAATATCAGGTGGAACAATTTTCAACAAGGGAAATTATATGCAGTTGAAAAGTGTGTTGTTTGGATTATAATTAACTGGTAACTGTCAGGAGTGAAAATGGTACATCTGTGTTAAAAGAGGTAGGACAGTAATGTAAAAACAAGCATTTTTATTCCTGTTTATTGGGTAAAATACACCAAAGTAAATTCAACTTTCCTGCTGAGGTTCAGTGGAGACATACACAGATTAGTAGTTTTTAAAAATATTGTTCAATCATAAAATGGAATGAAGCACTGATCCATACAACAACATGGATGAACCTTGAAAACATTACATTCAGTGAAGGAAGCCAGTCATAAAATACCATATACTGTATGATTCTATAGGAAATGCCAAGAATAGGCAAAATCCATAGAAACAGAAAGTAGATTCATGGTTGCCAGGGGTTGAGGGAAGCGGGAAATGGGGATTTACTGCTAATGAGCACCAGCTTTCTTTTTGTGATGATAGAAATGTTCTGGAGTTAGATAGTGGTGGTGGTTGCACAATCTTGTCAATGTACTAAAAGTCACTCAATTGTACACTTTAAAGTGGTGACTCTTATGGTATGTGAACTATATCTTAATTTTTTAAAAGACACATATTAACAAATATATATGGTATGGTATCAGCCCTCAAAACATTTA